TGGAAGCTGGTTTGAGCTGGTTTAAGCTGGTCTTTAGTTGGTCATGAGCTGGTTATAAGCTGGTCCTCAGCAGGAGCTAGTAGCTTAGGACCAGCATAGGACCAACACATGACCAGCTTAAACCAGCTCATAACCAGCTTATAAATGAAAATCCTGTCATCATTTACTCACACTTTTGTTGTTCCCAACTTGTACTGATTTTTTCCCCCCATAGAACACAAAAGAAAAAATGGTTTTGGAGAGAATAGTCACTCTGTGATAATAAATCTAGATGGAAGATTTCAAATTGTAAAACAATGTCATAAAAGCTGTTTCAACACCGGCCTTCCCAAGAAGACCATTAGACAGCTGCAGCTCATCTAGAATGCTGCTGCCAGGAACCAGAAAATCTGAGCATATCACACCAGTCCTCAGGTCCATACACTGGCTTCCAGTTATATTTAGGATTGATTTTAAAGTACTTTTACTAGTTTATAAATCACTCAATGGCCTAGGACCTAAATACATAGCACATATGTTCACTGAATATAAACCTAACAGACCACTCAGATTATTAGGATCGAGTCAGTTAGAAATACCAAGGGTTCACACAAAACAAGGGGAGTCCGCTTTTAGTTATTATGCCGCCCGCAGTTGGAATCAGCTTCCAGAAGAGATCAGATGTGCTGAAACATTAGTCACATTTAAATGCAGACTCAAAACTCATCTGTTTAGCTGTGCATTTAATGAATGAGCACTGTGCAATGTCCGAACTGATTGCACTATATTTTATGTATAATCGTTTTCTATTCTTAACTGTTTTAAATTCATTTTAAACCTCTTAAATACATTTTTTAATCATTTTCAAAGTTTTTAAATTCCTAATAATTGTTTTATTATTATTTTGCTTTCTTTTATGTAAAGCACTTTGAATTACCATTGTGTATGAAATGTGCTATATAAATGAACTTGCCTTGCCTTGCCTTAAAAAGTGCTTTATTCCAAATCCTCATGGGATAATCAATTTCACCCACTTTATTTTAATTAGTTGCCAAAGCATCAAAAAGTTGTTTTCATCTAACATTTACATTTTATTTTATTTTATTTCACCTTTATTTTAATTAAAGATAACAGTTTTAGAGAAATGTAGTTTGTTTTACATCCAAAGCTATCATATGACTACAGAGAATTCTGGCTACAGTGTGTATAGAGTCATATTGACCACTTTCATGATTCTTTTTTGCTAATGTATCTTTTAAGGAGCTCTAGTCCTCATTCACTGTTGTTGTATTTAAACAAATGACCACTCCAGTAGATTGCTTAAAAATTCTCCTTTTGTTTTTCCACGGTAAATGATTAAATATTGAAAGAATGTTCATTTTTGGGTGAACTGTCCCTTTAAAGGGGTCATATGATGTGATTTCAAGTTTTCCTTTCTCTTTGGAGTGTTACAAGCTCTTGGTGCATAAAGAAGATCTGTAAAGTTGCAAAGACTAAAGTCTCAAATCCAAAGAGATATTCTATTGCTGATATAGTATTGCTGACGCTGCAATAAGGTATAGTTGACGGCAGCCATTAACATTTTTTGTACTTTTTACATAATATGCAAGTCACTGGCTACCATCAACTGTTTGGTTACCAACATTCTTCAGAATATCTTATTTTGTGCTCATTAGAAGAAAGAAACTAATAGAGGTTTGGAACAACTTAGGGTGTGTAAATTATGGCAGAATTTTCATTTTTGGGTGAGCTATCCCTTTAACAAATCTATACTTAAGTATACTTGGCTTATATTGACAAATACATCAAAATTAAAGTATATTTGGTCAGTTTTGTGCTTAATCATTTGACTGAGACAGACTTATGAAAAGTACAATATATTATTCTAAGTATACTAAGTATAGTTTTTCTCTGTTATTCCATCCTTTCGACAACAGCATATGTTCTAGATGCTGATCTGATAAACGTACATTTTCAAGTTTAGAGTAACAAGTCAACCTTGGGGTGGAATAGCTATTAGGAATCAATGGGTTAAAAATACTTCTAGGTTGTTTGAAGGAGAGATTCCAAACCGAGGCAGGTCACTCTTTCATTTGTGTGAGCAGAGAGCTGGGGTTCTGGGGCAGAGGTAGTTTAAGGTATAGTTGACGGCAGCCATTAACATTTTTTGTACTTTTTACATAATATGCAAGTCACTGGCTACCATCAACTGTTTGGTTACCAACATTCTTCAGAATATCTTATTTTGTGCTCATTAGAAGAAAGAAACTAATAGCGGTTTGGAACAACTTAGGGTGTGTAAATTATGGCAGAATTTTCATTTTTGGGTGAGCTATCCCTTTAACAAATCTATACTTAAGTATACTTGGCTTATATTGACAAATACATCAAAATTAAAGTATATTTGGTCTGTTTTGTGCTTAATCATTTGACTGAGACAGACTTATGAAAAGTATAATATATTATTCTAAGTATACTAAGTATAGTTTTTCTCTGTTATTCCATCCTTTTGACAACAGCATATGTTCTAGATGCTGATCTGATAAACGTACATTTTCAAGTTTAGAGTAACAAGTCAACCTTGGGGTGGAATAGCGTAAAGTAAATAGTACATGGGTGGAACTGAACTGGATCTTTTTTGTACACAGTGCTATTAACCCACACAGAAAACAGTTCATAGTGTACTTTCTTAAAATAAAAAGTGAACTAAAAGTACAGTACTCAGCATAAATGAGTACACCCCCTCTGAAACTTACTTATGTAGAAGATATATTAGGGTTCTTTGGAAATATAATGTTCCAGAGAGTCTCTCTGATCAATTACTAAAGAAGCATGTCAAAATTATTCAGCAAAATAAGATTTTCGTATCAAAGTGATTTCTTATCAAAATGTTAAAGGGATAGTTCACCCAAAAATGAAAATTCTGTCATTAATTACTCACCCTCATGTCGTTTCAAACCCGTAAGACCTTCATTCATCTTCGGAACACAAATTAAGATATTTTTGATGGAAGCTGAGAGCTGTCTGACCCTGCATAGACAGCAATACAACTGAAATGTTCCCAAGTTAAGAGACGTAGCAAGGAGATCTGTAAAATAATCCATGTGACATCAGGGGTTCAACCGTAATTTTACGAAGCTACGAGAATACTATTTGTGCGCAAAAGAAAAAAAAACGACTATTACCTGCTGACACAGAACAGCATATGTTGTTTACATCCAGCTGATACTCTCCAAAATGGAGCTACAGGGTGACGCGGAGGAGACGAATTGTTGAATAAAGTCGTTATTTTTTTTTCCTTTTGCACACAAAAAGTATTCTCGTAGCTTTGTAAAATTACAGTTGAACCACTGATGTCACATGGATTATTTTACCGATCTTCTTGCTACTTTTCTGGACTTGGGAACATTTCAGTTGTATTGCTGTCTATGCCGGGTCAGACAGCTCTCAGATTCCATCAAAAATATCTTAATTTGTGTTCCGAAGATGAATGAAGGTCTTATGGGTTTGAAGCAAAATAAACTCACTTAGCCTTTTCAAAGGCCTGTGGGAAACAATACTCATGAGACCAAGTCAATATAATAACAATTACTTAAAGCAATTTAAAATCTTCATAATAACACAAACAAGGCTTAAAGTTTAAGTCTGAAATAGCAAGTTAGTGTGATCCAAGAATCTGCATATATATGATATAGAGCAACCCAAAAACATCTTATTAATTCCCCTGAGTAAACTACTTTTAGAGTTTGGTAAATGTGTCATGTTAAATTCTGAGGACAGTACATAGCTAAAAGACTGAAAGTACAATTAGTAGAAGTAGGACTTAGTAGTGGCCAACATGCTATCACAAACTAAATATTACAAATAATCAGGGGTGTGAAGTAACGAATTACAAATACTCCCGTTACAGCAATTAAGTAGTTTTTATCAGTAATTGTACTTTTTTGAGTAGTTTAAAAATTGTGTACTTTTACTTGAGTACATTTTAAGTGATGTATTGGTACTTTTACTCCGCTATTTTCCTCATTTTATGGTCGTTACATGATTATTTTAATTTTATTTTTATCTATCAACGTGATTGGATAGAGAGATAGTAATAGGTCTCGTGACTTTCGTCAAATCAAATTTTGCATAGAAAACTTTAACCGCCAATCATGGCTGCTGGAAGTGCATTCTTCAAGCATCAATTCAGTCGCATCTTCCTCTAACTTAATATGTTAATTATTTGTATATATGCTTGCTTATCTACACGGCCTGAAATTTGGTGTGAGGTTGCGGGTATACGTGTTGTTAACTCCCGCAAGTGCCATGTTCTGTAAATTCCCACTCACTTATGAGATGCGCGATCTGTGCTGTCTCGTCTCTCTCTCGAGCCTCATTTTAACCCATATCATGGTGTGTGATGCTGAACTATGAGTTTCTAATGGTGTTTGTATTTGCACTGTTCTAAACATTAATATTTTATGTGCAACAACAGCCTGCTGTCTCAGTGGCCTTACACATGATTTTAAATCTATTTTTTCAAACTTTATGATTTAAATGTGGATGATTGTACTGAGAATAACTTTTATCTTTTCTTCAACTGAATACTGTTTCCATGCTGTTTTGATGTATTTTAAAGAGTTGGCAGTCAAAATTAAAACTGCTTGATGATAGACATTCTTCATTCTTTATGACAAACAAGATAATGTGAATTACAGAATGTACAACGTTTTTAAAATGTATAAATTGTGGTGTACAGCATTTATTATGAGGGGTAGAATCCACAGCTCAGTACTCACTACTCAATACTCACGAGTACTTTTAAATAGGCTACTCTTTTACTCTTACTCAAGTAGTTTTTTGGACAAGTACTTTTACTCTACTCACACTACAGTTTTTGGAAGGTAATGGTACTTTCACTTGAGTATATTTTTTCAGTACTCTTTCCACCACTGCAAATAATCATTAGATATCTGGGAGAAAAGTTAAGTGTCCATGTGTAAATGTGACTCTGTTAGATGTTTGGTAGAACAACCCACCTTTGTAGTAGAAGAGGCAATAATCAGCTAGAACAAACCATTTTCTCTTCCACAGCCGCATCCCTGAGCTGTCCTGAAAGTACAAAGCAACACAAACACTGATGGGAAAACACACACCTTCAGGCAGCTGAAGACATCTGATGGGGAAAGACAACACTTCAAACAGACTTCAAACAGGCAATTCGCAGCGCTTCCCCTTGACAGCACCGTTTCACTTCCAGTTAAAGAGTTTTTTCAAAGTCTATTATCAAAAACTATCCATGTAAATACACTCCTGATGTTTTCACGCCATGAAAGACCCATGTGTGTGTGTGTGTGTGTTTGTGACTGGATGACTGGCTGGCTTTCAAAAAGAAAAGCCAAATAAGCTGCCTACCTACAGCTTTTATGATGAGTTTGAATGCTCAAAATATGCATTTCAACTGTTCAAAACTGCCTGCAATTCCCCAAAATGCTGTGTTGCAAGGCTGTTGATGTTTAGGAAGACACATTTCCCTCAATATTCAGATCTGTGGTCAAACAAAATGGTTTCAAACTTCATAAACTTGAAGTTTTGGTCTTTTTGGTCCTGCCAAATTGAATGATTTGGTCTAGAATAAGTCTAGAATAAGGCTAAAATTCTCAGCTAGAATGTCCATAAATGTCCCTAAAGAACCTCCAGGGTATCCGAGGACAAGATATAAAACTTTTTTTCTAATTTCTAACTATAACCTTCTAACTGATGCATTATGTAATATTCTAATATTAGTTCAGAGCAGAGTAGGCTTATGGCAGGGAGGGGGTTGCTCCGAACTTGCTTGGAACGAACCGTTTAGAAATCACTGGCAAATTACTCTAATATTAAATGTATATTCTGAGAACATTACAATGTTTTCTGACCTTAGATGCATTTAAACCTGTTGTAGGGGACTCCAACACAATATTAGGACACTTTAAAATACCATATGACCTGCTCTTTAAGTCAAGAAGAATTTTCTAGACAAGTAAAAATTATTTTATTGTTTTCAGAAAAGTCCAAATTAAGTGAGGTTTTGCTTAGAACAAGCAAAATAATCTGCAAATGGAGTAAGCAAAATAATCTTATTTCAAACAGAAAACAAGACTATTTTGCTTAGGCTACCCCATTGGCAGATTATTTTGCTTGTTTCAAGCAAAAACTCACTTAATTTTGACTTGTTTTTTTCTGAAAACAAGACAATAATTTGTACTTGTCTAGAAAATCCTTCTTGATTTAAGAATTTTTAGATATTTTGGCTGGAAACAAGACAAAAAATCCAAGAAAAGCATTTTTTGCAGTGTAAGGGCTGAAAACCTGTCATGTAAAGTAGGGCTGAAACGATTCCTCGAGTAAGTCGAGTTACTCCATTACAAAATATCATCAAGGCAAATTATTTGCCTCAAGGCTTCGTTTAGTCCATTTACTGTAACTACTTATCACACGAAGAGTGACAGTTTTCTCCGCTAAAAATCAGCATGAGTACAAATGTGATACTGATTTTATGCAACAGTTCAATAAAGAAGAAGTTAATATTAAGAAACTTACGTTTTAGACACCATTGCCTGTAGTGCTCAATTTTGCCAACAAAAAAATTATTCCAAACACAGCCACAGCACTGTTTTGCGTCTCTGAGCAACATGACAGTGTTTTGTTCCTGAATGAATCAACCGTTTAAATGATTGATTCAATCGCAATTAATCAATATTAACAGTGACTTGCTGCCACCTACTGGCGGTTTTAATTTCACATTTAAAGGCACAATATGTAAGATTTTCATAATAAAATATCCAAAAACTTCTTGCACAGTGTGATATATTTCATGCAGTTGTGTATTTATGTTATCCCAAAAGTTCCATAGGATTTGTAAATCCAGAGAATTCCTATTTTAAATAATGACTCGCCCCTGGTCATTGTCGCCTATCAATGCTTATTGAATGCGATATCCGCATATCCTCGGTTTCCGCTTGTAGAAACTATGGCAACACACGGACACAAATGCTGCACAGATAAACTAAATCCATTACAGCTGTCGCAAATTAAACGAAAATGAAATGAAAAGTGTTGACCGCAGGATTAAATTTAGATCTGCTCAATGTTGCACCATGATTTTTTTATGCGTTTTTACAGTGTTGTGAATTATAACCAATCACACACGAGTCCGTTGAGCTTATGAATGCAATGGCCAATCAGAGGCATTCAGATGAGTTTTTTTGTCCACTGCACGCACTCACTTGTTGTAATGTTTACCTTTTTAAAGTAATGTGAAATAGATTTTTGTATTTTTATTTCTTTATTTTATTTTTTATTCATAATTTTATTTACATTTCTTTATTGATATATTTGTATTTGCATTTTGAATGTAATTTGGCAATTAAATGCATTAAATGGGTTTAGTTTTCACGGTTATTAATGTTTGCTATTTCAGCAATACAAATTTTAATTTTTCTAAAAAGGAAACAAATTAGTTGTTTATTTTAAGAGACCTATCTTATTTTCTCTTGTATATCTAGCATTGCTCTTTAATAAAGAAAAATGACTTCTTATCCGATTACTCGATTAATCGATGGAATAATTGGTAGAATACTCGATTGCTAAAATAATCGATAGCTGCAGCCCTAATGTAAAGTATAAATTGAAAGTAGAAGTCGACCGATTGATCAGCCGGCCGATTAATTGGCCGATTTTTGGCATTTTTTAATAAATCGTCATCGGCTGATTGTGCTACAAATTAGGCCGATTTATAGGTAGGTACATCTTACATCTGCGGGCAGCTAAGCATTGATGTGGATCGCAGGAGAATCTCTCTCTGGCTGCGTGAGAGACGGAGCAACTCACACAACTCACACAAACAGACCATTTCGAAAGCATAATTACGTTTTACCTTACTAGAATTGATGCCGGAAAGTTATCATATTCATAAGTGCAACAAGTCATTTGCATGTGAAAGTAGAAACACATGCAATTCAGACGAAACTTCTGGGCTGATTATAACATGCACGTTAACTTTCCTCGTGAAATGTGTGTGTAGGTCCGACAACAGCATCCACGATGTCATCGCTTGTGGCCAGTGCACTCTGAGCAGTGGGCTGTGTAATATGTGTGAACTCTTTTATTTTTGTTATCACTTGACCATTTGACTTATAGCAGTGTCCAGTGTTTCCCATACATTGAGTTAATAGATTTTCCAAAAGGCTTATACTTTGTTGAATAAACTGAGCACTGCGCGTTTCAAAATTAAAATGCAGCGCGGGTGTTTTTATATGAATGTATCTTTGAAAAGAACATTCAGAAAAGCTTTGATGTCATTTTAATTTCGTCTTTCCTGTAATGCCTGATAAAGTAGCGTTTGTGAGCGCAGTACTTATTTGATTACAGCCGTTACCGGGGAAACCCGCTCCAACAGCGCATTGAATTTGCATTTGCAAGTCTGTGGAAAACGTCTAGGTTACTTGTGTAACCCTCGTTCCCTGAAGGAGGGAACGGAGAGGGCTGAAAACCTGTCATGTAAAGTAGGGCTGAAACGATTCCTCGAGTAAGTCGAGTTACTCCATTACAAAATATCATCAAGGCAAATTATTTGCCTCAAGGCTTCGTTTAGTCCATTTACTGTAACTACTTATCACACGAAGAGTGACAGTTTTCTCCGCTAAAAATCAGCATGAGTACAAATGTGATACTGATTTTATGCAACAGTTCAATAAAGAAGAAGTTAATATTAAGAAACTTACGTTTTAGACACCATTGCCTGTAGTGCTCAATTTTGCCAACAAAAAAATTATTCCAAACACAGCCACAGCACTGTTTTGCGTCTCTGAGCAACATGACAGTGTTTTGTTCCTGAATGAATCAACCGTTTAAATGATTGATTCAATCGCAATTAATCAATATTAACAGTGACTTGCTGCCACCTACTGGCGGTTTTAATTTCACATTTAAAGGCACAATATGTAAGATTTTCATAATAAAATATCCAAAAACTTCTTGCACAGTGTGATATATTTCATGCAGTTGTGTATTTATGTTATCCCAAAAGTTCCATAGGATTTGTAAATCCAGAGAATTCCTATTTTAAATAATGACTCGCCCCTGGTCATTGTCGCCTATCAATGCTTATTGAATGCGATATCCGCATATCCTCGGTTTCCGCTTGTAGAAACTATGGCAACACACGGACACAAATGCTGCACAGATAAACTAAATCCATTACAGCTCTCGCAAATTAAACGAAAATTAAATGAAAAGTGTTGACCGCAGGATTAAATTTAGATCTGCTCAATGTTGCACCATGATTTTTTTATGCGTTTTTACAGTGTTGTGAATTATAACCAATCACACACGAGTCCGTTGAGCTTATGAATGCAATGGCCAATCAGAGGCATTCAGATGAGTTTTTTTGTCCACTGCACGCACTCACTTGTTGTAATGTTTACCTTTTTAAAGTAATGTGAAATAGATTTTTGTATTTTTATTTCTTTATTTTATTTTTTATTCATAATTTTATTTACATTTCTTTATTGATATATTTGTATTTGCATTTTGAATGTAATTTGGCAATTAAATGCATTAAATGGGTTTAGTTTTCACGGTTATTAATGTTTGCTATTTCAGCAATACAAATTTTAATTTTTCTAAAAAGGAAACAAATTAGTTGTTTATTTTAAGAGACCTATCTTATTTTCTCTTGTATATCTAGCATTGCTCTTTAATAAAGAAAAATGACTTCTTATCCGATTACTCGATTAATCGATGGAATAATTGGTAGAATACTCGATTGCTAAAATAATCGATAGCTGCAGCCCTAATGTAAAGTATAAATTGAAAGTAGAAGTCGACCGATTGATCAGCCGGCCGATTAATTGGCCGATTTTTGGCATTTTTTAATAAATCGTCATCGGCTGATTGTGCTACAAATTAGGCCGATTTATAGGTAGGTACATCTTACATCTGCGGGCAGCTAAGCATTGATGTGGATCGCAGGAGAATCTCTCTCTGGCTGCGTGAGAGACGGAGCAACTCACACAACTCACACAAACAGACCATTTCGAAAGCATAATTACGTTTTACCTTACTAGAATTGATGCCGGAAAGTTATCATATTCATAAGTGCAACAAGTCATTTGCATGTGAAAGTAGAAACACATGCAATTCAGACGAAACTTCTGGGCTGATTATAACATGCACGTTAACTTTCCTCGTGAAATGTGTGTGTAGGTCCGACAACAGCATCCACGATGTCATCGCTTGTGGCCAGTGCACTCTGAGCAGTGGGCTGTGTAATATGTGTGAACTCTTTTATTTTTGTTATCACTTGACCATTTGACTTATAGCAGTGTCCAGTGTTTCCCATACATTGAGTTAATAGATTTTCCAAAAGGCTTATACTTTGTTGAATAAACTGAGCACTGCGCGTTTCAAAATTAAAATGCAGCGCGGGTGTTTTTATATGAATGTATCTTTGAAAAGAACATTCAGAAAAGCTTTGATGTCATTTTAATTTCGTCTTTCCTGTAATGCCTGATAAAGTAGCGTTTGTGAGCGCAGTACTTATTTGATTACAGCCGTTACCGGGGAAACCCGCTCCAACAGCGCATTGAATTTGCATTTGCAAGTCTGTGGAAAACACTGGTGTCTGTAAGCAAATATAAACAAAAGCATGCTTCAGAACTGTTTTGAGAAGGTGCTTAAGTTTTCAGCCATGTATTATTACTCTGAATTAGGCTACTATTACTATATTGTACCCTGCAATAATCATTTACTGAAACTCACTTTTATGAGATGAAGAAAAAAGAAAAAAGAAAAATCGGCCAAAAAAATTGACATCATATATCGGACTTCGGCTGCCCTGATTTCTAAATATCAGCATCTGCATCTGCCAGTGAAAAACCCATATCGGTCGACCTCTAATTGAAAGCAAATGTTTGGTTAATCAATAAACAAGCATTGGTTAAATTCTCTTACCTGTTTGTAGAGCCATCCACGTACCACTACAGGAACACTGGGATTCCGCTTTATGGCATGATCCCGTTTGCCAAAGTTATGAACCCTTCCACTGGACTTGGATCCCTATATCACACACCAACACACACACACATAAACTGGAGATGACCAGGGGGACTGAAAGATCATTCATCAACTATTAGTGCACAGCTGATCTTACACACCATCCGCTGGCATTCTGTGGGCAAAGAAACATAAGCCTACATGCTGCCTACCACTCACACATGCCAGAGCACTCATATGACTAATACATCACCACTGCATGCCATCGCTGCCAACGACAAGAGCTACAAGCACTCATTCATCTAGAATAGTACAAACGCAGGCAGGAGATGAGATGACATAGGCAGCGTTCCAGCTACTGCATTCCTCCGTGTCTCTTAAATCAAACTATGGCAGTTGGTCGTCACAACATTTCAGTAACTTTTGCACATGCATTCTGAGAGGTAACATAATGATATGATTATAGTATTATCAAAGCCCCCGTTATGAAACGATAAGCTAGCTATCATATCACACCGCTGCTGTTTTTGTACAGCAAAGGTCTTATTTTTTAGATCAATGTCAACAATCCATGCTAAATATCGGTGAGGGATACAAGATTTACAAATGGATTCAAATATATTCTAATTTTAGTTTATAAGGAATAACGGAATTAAAATTCTGTAATTATTCAGTCCCTCTCAGGCTCTTTCTATACAAATATAGTTCACAGTGACCAAGTCTGTAATGCTCCAAAAAGAAAAACATATCCTAAAAAGTATCATAAAGATGGTCCAAGTTTTGTATGAGGAACAAGCTAAAATCAAAGTCATTACTCACTTTAATATTCATTTCCATTTATGCTTGTGTATATGTTGCATTTGCTGATAGAATTTTACAAAAATAAAGAAAAGTTGTGTAAATATTCTTCAAAAACGTCTACTTTCCACTAAGAAATACCCATTGTGTGTTTACTTGCACTGAATGTGCACTTGTAGTGTAGTTTAAATTTTGAAAGTATATTTAAAAAAAAACTGTATTTGCAGATAATATACCCTAGTAAAAAAGTAATATATTTAAAATACATTTATTTCATACTAAGTATAGTTCAAATCTATTAACATATTTACTGACAGATAACTAATATGAACTTTTCTTAATATTAAGTCTAAAATGTGTTTTAATGTCACTTTTGATGAGGATTGTATGATCTTTGAATAATATCGGACTTTAAATGCAAAATATTTAAAGTGTACCTGAAGTATACTTGCAATAGTTCCACTTTAGCACAATCAGATATACTAAGTATATCTTTAAGTGTACATCAGCACTACTTCTGCACAATTAAAGTGCATTAAGTACAAAATTAGTTGTTCCAATTTAGCAGTATACCAGTTAAGTATGCCAGTTTAGTATACTAAAAGTACAATTGCAGGACATTTTATTAAGTACATAAATATGAAAATGTATTTGTAGTATACTTAGCATGAAATAAATGTATTTCAAAAACAAAAGGCCACTTAAATGTACCTTAAAAAAGTTCACGTTCACAGCTGTTTCCCTAACACACTTCAGTACATTTTTAAAAAGTGTACTTTGTAATAGTCAAATTAAGCTTTATTTTAAAGTACATTTTAAATCATTTTGTCAAGTTAATATATTTAATAGATTAAAATGCACTAAAATGCAACTTCATCATTACAAATGTGTACTTATGATATATTTAACTACATGACATACAAGTGCCAATAAAAATTGCATTAAAGTACATTTAAGTTATAAAAAAATATCAGTACATTCGGCAGTACACTTCATTGACAACAGAAGTAATTATGAAATTACATAAAGATGTACTGAAGTCCTATTTAAGTGGGTCAAAAAAGTTCAGCTAACCGCATTTAATAGAAATATAAACTATTATACATTTTCATTTAATTGTAAATAAAATGCAATTAAGTGTCTGAAAATATTATATTCAGTTTGCACTTGAGTATTTTATTTTAAAGTCAATTATTTCCATAATAAGCACTCTTTTTTAAAAGTATGCTAAAGTGTACTTCTTTTACACAATTTTGGAACTGTCCTAAAAATGATGAAATTGTACTTAATGGGTGGATCATTCTTTTAAATATCTGGGGAAAAGCATGTTATTCAGCTCATGTGCATCCCAAACAATGCATCCTTACACAGATATGCACCAAATAACTCACAATCCGAATCAAAATCCATTTCATTGGTCTTCTGTGTTTGCTCAGAGATGGCAGTCAAGGGCTCTGATCACTCGGTGTTTGTCACCGGCACTTGGGAATTGACGCATCAGCACAGAAGAATAAACACTCTAATTACCAGGACTGATGCTAACCAAGCATAGAGAATGTTCTGCATCAGGAGTCTTGTCAAGCTAACTTGCTCGTCTCATTCTATGTAGTGTCTTCTACTTCTATCTCTATAAAATACCAGTTTTATTTTCTTACCATTTGACTAGTTTTGTTGTCCAACAGGATCAGGTTGTTACTGACCTTTGAGCCTGACGTGGTGTCCAGAGTTGAAGAAGTGACGGCAGTCGAGGCCTCACTAATGGTGCTGGAGGGCCGTGTGGTCGACTGTGGCTGCTGCTTCAGCATGTGTCGGCCAGTCCTGCAGAGGAGAACATGGTTATGTTACGTTATGCTGCTAAATGGCTTTACATTTAACACATTTCATTAAGGCTGAACAATTTAAATCAGAATAAAACTGAAATCCTGATATTGCTTAGTGCAAAGGCTGCAATTGAATTAAATATTTTTGCTGCATGTTTCAGAATGAAGCACAGCACTGGGTCCTTTTATACGCAAGCAGCTTATGATTCATTGTTTTCAGTGTCTCAGAGCAGTAACTGTTGCTCCACATGGACAAATATCTCCATCTGCTCTGAGTTTGGAACGCTCCAACCATCTTCACAAACTGGCAAGAAAAAGTGCTTAAAGAGGTTGTTGTCAAAAATGAATAAGCTTTATTTTATTAAAATAAAACCTTGGTTTTTGTTTACTATGTAGAGTGTAATTTTATTTATGAGTTCATTTCATAATTCAGCATTCATTAAAAAAAACATAAATACCCATTTATTATCATTATTTATGCAATTCTCCTTTGAGATCGTTTTGACAGACATGTTTATTGTGCATTATTTTCAACGTGTTTATTGCTAAGTTTAGTGTGGCAAAATAGAAGTGCAGCCGTAATTCGCGTGCTTCCTGCTGCTGCTCTATGTAATCAGAGTGTGAATTTGTAGATTTTCTATAGCAAAACTAAAATGTGTTTAAAAGTGCGACTGACCAAATTGTCCGGCTCGGTTTGACATTATCTCGGCTCGTAGTTTTTGTTTACTATGTAGAGTGTAATTTTATTTATGAGTTCATTTCATAATTCAGCATTCATTAAAAAAAACATAAATACCCATTTATTATCATTATTTATGCAATTTTTATCCTAAATATTTCTTTCTAAAGCTTTTTATCTGTTTTTTTTGTCTATTCAATCATGTTCTCATTTAACACCATAATGATTTTAAATGATTAGAATCGTCACTACCTGCATCACTGAACTTGTGACACAAACACAACAGAACCGCTAGATTTAAATCAGCACAGCCAGCGAAGGATCAAACGCAACTGTTTTGAACGAGCGCACCTTTATTTAACAACCAAAAAATGTTGTTGTCTGTTGCGAAGAACAGACGTTCCTCTCGTTGATAGCAGAGGAGCAGATCCAGCGAGAGCTTGATGGGGAGACGCGGAATGAAAAAGTTTTTTTAGGAGTTGTGGCGGCGCAACTATAACGACATATGAATAATCTCGCCCACTCTAAAGCGGTACTGAACTTCAGTGGAAACGGTGGTACCGAGCAGAGTCTACCACGCAGTGGAAAAGTGCCATAATTTGACAGTTTACCATCTGATCTCACTCAGTGACTCTAGGCTACATAGGACGGGATGAAACCATGCAGTGGATGGGGGGAGATAATATTGCCGGAAATGCAGAAATAAGCCGTAATTTTGTTTTATTTGTAAGTCTTTGGTAGATACATTTATAATTTCTATTACATTACTACTACTACTGTTACTACTAATAAAACAGAGCTCTGGGGGCCCCAAAAGTGCGTGCCCCCCC